ACTAGATTAAGTGCGGACGTGGTTATGGGCTTTTGATACATTGTAGACTTGTCACAGGGTATGCTCTTGCCCAACACAACTACATTAGTCCCTCATTTCCTACGAATCAATCAAACACCAAGACACCATTTGTTGAATGAAATGAGTCAATTTGGCATTCCCATTGGATTGACCTCTATGGATTAGCCTACCTTATTTTCTTGCATATTTCTTAACTCACAAGATTTTTCAATTTTCATTTTTCACAACTCATTCTTCAAACACCTAACCTCACCTTCCCTGAGGAGACGACCTTAGAATATTCATTCCAAGTAAAACACGACATTATGAGTCGCTCTACGCTTGGAGAGCACTTTTGCACACACACAAATTTTTCCCACTTCTTGCATTGAACTTGAGGGAAAGTGACACTCACCAATTTATATAAGCCATATACACAACAACCGGGTTCGTGTGGGAGGTTATGGAAAAAGATATCAAGCAATGAGCGCTTAATATTTCATATTAATCACCTAATTACATGCATTTTTGTTCTCAACTTTGCATTTAATTACTTAAAGTTAGTCAAATTTGTGAATAATGTGAAATTTTTGATGTTGTAGGTAATAATAGGTTAAATGATGGTTTTTGGAACCTTACTACTAAGTCTGGATGAGTGGTGAAGAGATGGACATATTATATGAGGATTTGGAGGCTTCAAAAGTGAAAGAAATCATGGAAGTAATGTTACCTTGTGTCATAGGTACCGATACCTGAGCCTACTAAAATATTGGTACTGATACACACACCGTTCAATACCAGTAACCTAGTATTTCCCATTTTTGACCATAATACACTTTGAATCTGAAAACAATGCAAACCATGAAAATTGTAGATTTGGATGTTCTCTATCTTGTGTCAAAATTGCAGGGCAATCGGACAATGAAATCTAAAGTTATGATAAATCTTAAAAAACTTGTCTAAGTTGTTATTAAAGCTCTCTGCCATCGAGGTACCGCTCCTCATCACTAGGTACTAGTACTACAATTAAAAAAAATCAAAAACATGGGTGAAAGTCATGATTTGATTGAGAATAACCCACATTTTTCACTAGATCTATATATATATATATCTCTCAAGAGTTTTGAAAAAAAAAGAGGGTTAGAGAGGGAGGCTACCTAAGCTTAGGAATAATGTAGAGAGAGAAAGCTAGGGTTCTTGCTTTTCCTTCACCATTTTCATTCTTTTAAGCTTCAATCTACATGTGATCTTTATTTCTAGCACATTAATCTCATTTAATGCAAGTTCATATTTGATTTTATTTCCATATTTTTCTCTTTCATGTTTGTTCTTGCTTTTTATTATGATTAGCTAAACCTTTAGCTGATTAATTCAAGAGGGATTTCCTCTTGGGTATGTGGAATCAATTATCTTTCATTCTTTCTTGTAGTGTAAAGTGTTTGGTTTGACCAAGTTGAGTGTGGATGAATGTGGTTGTAGGCTTTTGATGCACCATAGATTTTGTCATGGGGGTATGCTCTTGTCCAAGCAATTACATTCATCTCTCACTTCATACGAATCAATCAAACATCTAGGCGCCATTGGTAGAATGGAATGAATTGATTTTCCATACCTATTGGAATGAACTCATGGATTAGCCAACCCTATTTTTACTTGCATATTTCTCAAAACACAAACCACCAAACTTCATATCACAATATTTTTCATTTTTCCCTTTTACAAATCATTTTGGAGAACACTTGACCTTACCTTCCTTGAAGAAATGCCATTGGAATATCATTCCAAGTAAAACATGATACTATAAATCTCTCTACACTTGGGAGCATTTTTGCATATTCACACACATTTTTATTTATTCACACACAATTTCCCTGTATCTTGCACCAGTTTGAGTGAGTTACACTCACCCTTCATTTTAAGCCATACACATAATCGGGTTCGTGTGAAAAATAAAGAAAATAAATTCAAGTAGTAGGTGACGGTGGGTGGTGGTGACAGCGATGGGTGAAGGTGGTGGGTGATGGTGGTGGACAACGATCGATGTTAGTGGGGTGGGGGATGTGAATGGGTGTGGTTAGTGGCGATGGGTGGTGTGTGACTGGTGGTGGTGGTGGCAATGGTGGGTAATGGTGGTGACGGGTGTTAGTGGGTGGGGATTAGTGGTGGTTATGGTGGTAGCGATGAGTGACGGTGGTGGTTGATAACAGGTGATGGTGGTTATTGGTGGTTAGTGACGATGATGGGTGGTGGTTGGTTGATGGTAGTGGGTGACGGTGGTTGGCGACGGTGGTTGGTGGTGGTAGCGGATGGTGGGTGTTGGTGGGTATGGGTTGTTGGTGTTGGTGGATAGGGGTTGTGGGTGGTTATTAATGGCGATGGGTGGTGGTGGTTGGCGACGGGTGGTGGCGATGGTGGGTGGTTGTGATGATGTGTAGTTGTGGTGGTGGTAGGTGTTAGTGGGTAGGGGAGGTGGTTAGTGGTGGTTGCGACAAGTGGTGGTGGTTGGCAACGAGTGGTGGTAATGGGTGTTGGGTCATGGTGGTGGTGGTGGGGGTGGCGTTGGGACGATGATGATAATAATAACAAATATAAAAATTGATAATGGTGGAGACCAAAAAAATCACTCCATAGAGGTAGGGGTGCAACTCGAGCGGGTTGGACAGTCAACCTTAACCCAACCCTAATTATATAATCTTCAACCATAACCTTAACCCTATCTTGCGTTGAAAAACTCAACTCGAACACTACCCGAGTTTAATTCGGGTGGGCTCGGGTTGAATTTGAGTTTCTTAATTTTGGGTTAATTTCGAGTTAATGTTAGGTTCCAATCCAATCTTGATAAGCATATCAATCCATTTCCTCTAATTTAGCAACAACAACAAAAATTAGCAAGCATCAACGGCAACCAACTAGCACATCAGAATCATGAAAATATTGCAGAAAAAAAAACAGAGAATAGGGGAGTTCTCCACTAGGCCAGCACCTCACCAAAGACAACACACATCTACTACAAACGAGTTCTAGTGTTTGTGCACAATGGAAAGCTAATCTTAGATCTTGAGTATATTGAAGAAACCACCACAGCCACTGCCCATCGCCGCCATCACTACTGTCACCATAACCATTGCTCATCGCCACCACACCCACCAGATTTGAGATTCTATAGCCACTAAGCCACCAGATCTAAGATGCCATAGCCACAAAGGTTTTGCGCAGATCAAGGCTGGTCTATGTTGTGGTCTTCGGCACAGATCAAGACTAAGAGGCTATGAAGTACGGATACTTCGTTGAGGTTGATGTATCCGTATCGGACACGATACTTGTCGAATAATCAAGGATATGTATCAGATACACCTTCTACGTATCCGATAATAATTAAATATTAGGATACTTCACGGATACTTTGTAGTAGAACAACATATATAATTTTTTAGTTGAACTTTTAACATCTTTTTTCGAATTCACATACGATATAATACATTAACAGAAATTTCATTTTACTTCAAAGGCACATGAGTGTTTTTTAAGTATTATCTACAATTTCATGTCCAAATACTATATAGTAAAGTTATTACATTTTAATCTTGACAAAAATTACTTCTAAATACTAGGTAAATGTTAGTTTTGATTCCTTTAATTAGTCATTTCACTTTGTGAATATACTACAACGACACGATATATATTTTCTTGAAACTAAAAAGAATTACTAATTTTCCTTATTATATGTTAAAGAACTACTAAAATATATAAGTGTTAAGTTGATTGAAAATAATAAAAATATTTTATTATAGCCTTATCCTGGCTGTACTTGTATCCTATTTTTTAGATTTTGTCGTATCACCGTATCCGTATCGTATCGTACCTGTATTTCGTATCCGTATCCGTGCTTCATAGTTGAGAGGGAATGAGAGAGAAGCCGAGAGAGTGAGAGAAAGGTTGAGAGAGGCAAAGAGGCGCATGGAGAGGTAGAAAGCCAAAACCCTAATGGCTAATGTTCTATATATATATATATATATATATATATATATTTTTTTTTTTAAAATTTGTCGGGTTCGGGTTCAACCCGTGAACCCGAGGGGTCAACCCAAGGCCCGTCCATATTGAATTCGGGTTGAAATTTTTAACTTAAGTCCAATCCAAATATTAAAAATTCTTGTCCAAATTCTAATTTTATCGAATTAAGCTCGAGTTGAAATCGGGTTATCCAATCCAAATTGCATCCCTATGAGGTCTCGCCAAGTCAAATTAAAAATGGTGGGCAAAATAGATGCATTTTCTATCCCCTTTTCGTTTCTATTCAAATTTTCTTCTTCCACCAAGAAAAACATCATTTTCCATCCACCGAATTTTCAACTAACCAAACAGCCCTCTAATGTATGGAGGGTTCTCTTGTTCGAATCCGAACCATAGGGACGAAGACCAACTTTACGGCGAATTGAAGGAACAAATAGCCACGGGAACCAGCGGGCTCCATGTTTTTTTTGGGCAAATATTTAACAATTCTATACTAAACCTTTTACTTCCGATCTGAGAAAAAAAAAAGAGCTCTAGATCTAGCCCCTTTCCAGTCGATATTCATTGTTTCGGAGTAAAGTGCTCTGATCTGGTTTCTACGTAGTAGCATATTTCTGGTATTTTGTAATCTGAAGGATTATTCTTCGATAGTCTCGTCAGAAAGAGAGTGAGGGAGCAGTATAAGCCATCGCTTTACTTGATAGGAACGGCGTTGCCCTTTTCCGTCCTTTCCTGCATTGATTGCTTACTGACTCTAACACTTCAGATTTTTGGATTGATTGATCTGGAAAAGTAGTCTGCTTCTCTTTAATTGATTTTGAAGAGGGAAATAAAGAAAAGAAGAGCTGGATTCCGTGCAAGAGACGCCGTCATTGAAGCCTCCCGCTGCCGCCGCAGGAAACGGTCAGATCCGATACCGATCACCATCGGCCGCAGAACTCCTAGAAGGACAAGGGCAGTCTCCGCCAGCAGATCAACTGGACAAAATGTTGAAACGCACTAGGCAATACGAGTCCCTCTCCGACAAGATCCACAGGTACCGAGGCGTAATCTTGGTGATTTCAGTTCCTCTCCTCCTCATCTCGTTTGTGCTCTTTCTCATGCCAATCCGCTCGCCCTCTGACTCCATGAACTCCCGTAACCGCAAGTTTTCCCCCGACTACCTCGGAACCTCATCTTCATCTCGGAGCTACGCGGTCATCTTTGATGCCGGCAGTTCTGGCAGCAGGGTCCACGTTTTCTGCTTTGATGAGCACTTGGATCTTATTCCGATTGGCAAAGATCTTGAGCTTTTTTTGCAGGTAATTTACAATTTCTCTCTCCGTCATATGTGACTTTATGATTTTATTTTATGTTTCTTGAAATTTACTTGGACGTTTCATTCTCTCGTTGCACATTATTATGTAGTTAAAACCCGGTCTGAGTGCATATGCAAAAGACCCCAAGGCTGCTGCGAGTTCTTTACTATCCCTTCTGCAGAAAGCGGAAAGTACTGTTCCACGAGAGTTGCGTCACACCACTCCGGTCAGAGTTGGGGTCAGTGAAATTTGTTAGCCTGTAGCAGTTTTATGTGCTATGATCTCATTGAACTGATATTATTGCTTGAATCTTCTAGTGATATTTATGGTGTTCATGTTTACACAGGCAACTGCCGGTCTTCGGCAATTGGAAGGTGATGCGTCGGACAGAATTTTGCAAGCGGTACATCTTGCCTAATTTTACACTTTTAGGTGGTCGGGTGTGGAGGTCATTTTATCTCATACTTATATAAAGTGAATTTATAAAGGTGAGGGATTTTCTAAAGAATAAAAGCACTCTCAAATCCAAGGCTGATTGGGTGACTGTTCTGGATGGAACTCAGGAAGGTGCTTATCAATGGGTATGTTATCTCAAACTCACCATGTTTATGTGCTATACAGTTAGGATTCGTTCATAAAATTATATTTTTTTATAAATTTTTTTTATTATATTTAATGTAATAATTATGATTTATAAAGTAATAAGCGAATCACACATCTATCAAAGATATATAATAATAACTAACCATTCAATCATTCATAATTCATACATTCTGCACAATAAACATGTAAATTGCATAATATCCAAAACCAAAATGTTTGCATACCCAAAGAAAAAAGATATAATGTTCATGCATAAACAAAAGAAACAATCCTATTATAAGTTAAGAAGCAACAAAATAGTTCCTTAGTTTCTCTGCAATATTCAAATTTCATTGTTTCATAGTTCCTATATAATGCACACACACAAAAAAACAGAAGAAACCTTGCAAAAAAGCCCTAATTCCAGACCCTAGTTCTAGGCTTAAGTTTCTGTGCAAACTCAATTGCAAAACAAACAGAAGAAACCTTGCAAAAAAGCCCTAATTGTAGCTGTGTATGTTGTAATGGAGTACATGCATTATTTATTTCCCCATTTTCTTCTTTTTGGGAGTGGTGGTGGTGGCGGTGTTTGGATATCTCATCTGAATATCCTTGGTTCTTTTCCTTGGCATCTATAATTTTAGAGTGGTGGTGACGCAGCGATAACAAGGATATGAAAAAATTGCTGTTTCTTTATGTATTGAAAACACACCCAACCTGAATCTATAGGTAGAAGAGAGAAAAGCTCTCTAAAATGTTATTGATAGAATTGATTGATGAAAATTTGTAGTTACATAGGAACACCCAAAACCCTAAATGTTTCCAAACAAAAACAAATCCCTAACCCTATGAAAGGTTACTAGAACATATAAAAGCACATGTTTTTAATAGTTTAGTAAAATTGACATGTTTTAAGCAATTAATTACTCTAGACAATTCCTAATAAAATTTTAATTATAACAAAATAATAAAATAAAGATAAAAATATAAAAATAGCCAATCTTGTACATTAGACTCTCCATGTTAAAGCAAATTTGTCCTTGAATTACTATTGATTAAAACAATTTGATACGCCTTCGTTTGTGTGCTTCCATTTTATACTTAAGGTTAATGTTTCCAAACACCCCTTCTGTGAATCTGCGATGCCTTCAAGAGCTTATAGAATACTATTCCATTAGTCATCCTCCAACAATCTTAGCATGGCCTTAAAATTTTATAAGCAAACATATGATAAAGTCAACTAAATATCCACCTGACCTTAACTTGTTTCCAATTCAAGTGTGTGAAAATTATCAATGTCAAATTCTGTCTGACAACAAAACTTAACTTTGTTGACAAATCTACGGTGCACACTGATTCACTCATGATAAAAAAATTACTAAAAAAATTGTTCCAACCTGGAAACTCTGAATTATCAATATCAAATATTTGCTAAAAACATTAAAATCAAAACTATCTAGCAATTCAGAAATACTACTAACTTCATATAATTGACACATTTGTTCCTCTCCTTTTCTAACTATAAGATTCCCCCGTAAAACTTTATCGGCTATCTCATTATTATTTGTTTTCTTCATTGATTACATCAAACTCTGCTGTATCGAGTTTGAGTACAATGACTTTAGTTGCTGCATAGTCTCCAGTTGTATTCTCTTTATGATAACCTTCTGAAGGCTCCCCTACACCATCATAAGTCAATTTGTTCTCATCATTATCTTCAACATGTTTATTGTTGATGAACTTCAATTTCGTTCTTATTTGGACCAGCATAATTATTAAATATGAGAGTACTTGAATCTTTTTTTTCCCTATTAATTTTCTGATACCTCTAGGTGCTTGAAAAGTTCACATTATTGGGGTCTCAATATGATACTTGAGTCATAGAATAATCATTATATTTTAAAAAAGATTGCATCCAATTATTATCATGTTGAGGTTGCTTTCAATAACCACTTCATCTTCTCCCAATAACAAGCTTTAGATTTTTGTTAGCTTGCTTTGGATAATTTTACATGCTCATGATTAGAAACTATGTCCCACCAATTAGAAACTATGTCCTTCAGTTTGTATGCCAATAACCCCACCTCCAATCGGAGAATTACTCAATTTTGGCCAACCAATTTAAAAAATCTTCTTTGTGAACTTAACCATAAAAACTATGTAGGTTAATTTTCATGAGAACATTCTTCGACTCGGCCATTTCTTCTATAATCATAACTATCAAACATACCTGTAACATACTCTTAATCATTATCACTATAATGCATATCATAAATATGTTATTGTTTAGGTGACAAGATTGATATCTCGAATAGGTCAAACAGGAGCCCTATCGTTGTTGCGAACTTTATTTTGATGTGGATCTTGATTTATTGCACACGTCAACTAAGCAACCCAATTGTGAAAATCGTTGTTGCAAACTCTATTTTGATGTGGATCTTGATTTATTCCACACGTCGACTAAGCAACCCGATTGTGAAAATCACGATGGGCTTCCTGGGTCCCATGCCAAGAACTAAAGTACTCGGCTCTCAAAATAGCCCTTTTGACAGGATCATCGTCACGGAGAAAGTTGCACCACTTTAGTGACTAGCAATCATGACAGGTTACTTAAGACTCTGATATCAATTGATGCAATAGTAATAGGGACAAAAAAATTTCCGTTTATCTATGTATTATTGATACACAACCTAAATTCATAGGAAAAAGAAAGAAACTCTTTGGAGTATTATTGATCGGATTGAATTGATGATTGAAAACTCGTAGTATAGAGGGATAATTTATAAGAATACTCAAAACCCTAAACCTTTCCATTTTATAAGCAAATTCCTAATTCTACTCAACTCAACTAGATAAAGCCTTGCCCCAACGTTTTTGGGGTCGGATACATGAATCGTGTTTCTCCATTGAGCTTTATCAAGGACAAAGTTTTCAGTTAAATCATAAGTTATCATATATTTGTTTACTATTTTATTTAAAGTTAATTTTGGTCCTCCCAACGATTACTTTTAATAACTATCATATTACTCTTTCTCACTGGTGTCGTAGTAGGCTTATAAATATGTCCAAACCACTGAAGTCGATTCTTCCTTAGCTTATCTCTTATATGTGCTACCGCTATTTTTTTTTCGATATATTCGTTCATAATTCTTTTTTTCTTAGTTTTATCGTACATCCATCTTAACATTCTCATTTCAGTTATACACAAATTTTGAACATATTGTTTCTTAGTTGCTCAATACTCAGTATTATAAAGCATAGCGGGTCTTATGGACATTCTATAAAATTTTCTTTTTAGCTTCAGGTACGCCTATCACACAATACCAATGATCAAAATATCGTTTCGAAATGGTCAAAACGTTCGAAATATTTTCGTTTTCAAGGAGACCGAAACGAAACAGTGCTGGAATCGAAATTTTGATATTTTGAGGTGTTCTATAATGTTTCTAGATGTATTATAATATTTCAATGCATTTGCATAATTATTTTGGAATGTTTCAAGGGATTTTAAGATACTTTGATATAGTTTCATCAATGTTTTAGAAAAATAATTTTAAATTTTTTTATTTTTTTCATTATATTTTCGAAACGAATCGAAACGTTTCCAAAACACGTCGAAACGTTTCCGTTTCCTAGGTGACCGAAATAATACATCAAAACAATATTTTGGTCCTTGCACAATACACCGGATGCATTCTTCCATTTATTCCATCCATCGTTAATTCTATGCATAACGTTGCTGTCAATCTCACACTCTCTATAACAATAGATCCTAAATATTTAAAGTGTTCACTCTTTGGTATCTCTTGATCGTCAATTTTTACTATTTCCTGGTTTCGATTTCTTCTTTTACTAAAGTTAAATTCCATATTCTCAGTTTTAGTCCTATTTATTCTAAATCCTTTTGATTTTAAGGTTTTTCACCAAATTGTTAGTTTATTAATAATTCATTCTTTATTTTTATCAACTAGTATAATATCATCCGCAAATAACATACACCATGAGAGCTCATCCTGAATGTGCCTATTCAATTCATGCACAATCAACGTGAAAAGATATGGACTTAAATCAAAACCTTGATGCAAACAAGCAGTAATTGGGAATTCCTTAGTCTTCCCGGCCGTTGTTCTCACCAAAGTCACTGCAGATTCATACATATCCTTAATAACTTCAATATACCTAATAATAACATTTTTCTTCTCCAAGACCAAGATCTCTCTAGTGCCTTCTCTAAGTCTATAAAAACCATATGAAGGTCCTTATTTTTCTTCCTATACCTCTCCATTATTCTCCGAAGTAAATATATAGTCTCCATTGTTGATCTCCTATGGATAAATCCAAATTGATTTTCAAATGCCGTTGTTTACAACCTTTATCTTTGCTCGATCATCCTCTCACAAAGTTTCATTGTATGACCCATTAGTTTAATACCTCAATACTTTGTGCAACTTTGTATGTCTCCCTTATTCTAGTATGTATATAGGTACTAGAATACTCTTCCTCCACTCATTGGGCATTTTCTTGGTCATTATAATTTTATTAAATAATTTAGCTAGCCATGATTCTCCAACATCCCCAAGACACTTCCAAACCTCAATAGGTATATCATTAGGTCTTGAAGCTTTTTTGATGTAAACTCGGAAGGGGATGATAAGAGGAAAAGAAGGTGTTGATAAGATTAGGAGAAAGAGAAGGGAGCTTGGGAGCAAATAATACCAATAGTTAATAACAATCAAAAAAGTGTTTCAAACAAATACCACACCCCTATATACATACATATATATATATATATATATATATAAATATGTATATATGTAAATACATATATATAAATATGTATATACATATTTATATATATTATATATTATATATTATATATATAAATACGTATAAATATAGATATATATATATATATATATATTTTTTTTATATATATATATAAATATGTATATATATAGCAAAACCTTGGAGTCTTCACTCTTAATACATTTAATATGAT